CTTTTATTACATGTAAAAAAATTGATTTTATTTCTTATGGCATCGATTTTTTAATTATGTGCGTATCGCGTCGTTCCAATTACCGATTTCAACACCTCCGTAATCGGCTATTACGCCTTCACCATCAAATTAATGGCGGCGAAGAATAATAGAGTTGATAGGAAATGGAACTAGTACGCTTCCGTTCTTATACCCTCGCGATAAGACTGTGCCGTGCCGTGGCCGCGAATACATTTATGCGAGTCAACAACTCAGTTTTTTTGTCTGTTCATTTGTGCATCAAAGGAACCTGAATTGTAACGCAATTTGTATAATTGCGAATATGAATGACTGTGACTCAAAGAGGGAGCCAAGAAGAACAAGTAAATGCAATTTCCTCTGAAAATCCTTAATTCCAACATTGATTCTCTATGTTCATTATAATTAATGCAATTCTTTAATTAATTTTAATGATATAATAATTTTTATGTTTGTTTGTACGACTCGATGCATCGAATAAAAAAATTGAAACCAACAGCAGGGAGGAAGAAATGGAACCAGCAGAGGCTGGTGGCGTGGCTCAGTGACTCCACGTGTTTACACGTTCCTGTTCCCACGTCTCTGTCGAGGCAGGGACTTTGCAATCGCCTGCTATCTCGCCTCATTATGTGCCCTTATCTCGAATCTCCCGGGAGAGACACGACTCTGCTTCCGCGCATGAGAATCCCTTTTTGCCCGCGAAACAGCCTCGCGCGTCGGCGAGCCGTTAACTTGCGATAACTAGTGATAACGGTGTTTGTTGCTATCACATTCATGCGTCAATGGATGTTCCATGAAATTGTTACAGATGTTTCTCTCCCAGGATTAGAAATTTTATTTACAGTTTATCTTATAATATTAATGGTACGGGACATTAGTTTGCAAATGAGGGATATTACATTGTTAAGGATTGAATAATATCCTGTGTAACGGAGAAACTATCAAAAAGAATGAAAGCGAAATTCAAGAGACTTCCCGAAATTTATACTAATTGCGACAGAAAGTCATAAGGAAGTTGCAAAAACCGCGAAGTGGCCGCAAATTCGGCGTTACAAAATCGCATCTATCGGGGCACGTGTTCCCGGTTCGCCAGATCTCGTTTCCCAGTTTTGTCCGCCGATTTGCGTAACTATGGCCCCCTTTCGCTTCCAGTTTGCGTAATCGTTCAATTATCTTCTAATTAGATGCAAGAAGTGCGTAAGTGTGTCCGCCGTCCAAATTTTAGAAATCCGCGGGCCTCGGTCAGGAAAGCATATACTATAATTTTTGGCGAACCGCGCGTAGCTTTATAGCACCATAAATTTTGTTACACACTCGTCCTTTTCATTATGCATTCAACTAGCGAAACATTTTTTCTTGAAATAGCTTCGATTTCTTTAAGCACTTGAGGGCTGAATTATTTTACAAAAATCGATTAAGATTCCTATTACTATTAAAAAGCTACCTGCAAATTTTTTAATCAATTCATGGGTTTTTTGAAAAATAGTAGTGACTTAAAATTTACATGTACTTTTATGGTAATCAGCAGTAACCCAAAGAAGACTTTCTGGTAT